CGCTGCTCCCGCCGCGCCGCCGCCACTGGAGGCCTCCAGAAGGCGCTCTTTGTCGCGTGCCCAACTCTCGGCCTCCTCCAGCTCCTGCAGCAGTGCCCACAGGCTTCGAGACGCCTCCAGCTCCGCGCGCCGCCGCGCCGCCTGCTCCTGCAGCTCCGCCAGACAGCAGTGAACGTGGTTCACTCGGTTGCAGATGACCTGAGGGTCGCAGGGCTGGTAGCCTGGGCCAAAAGAAGGGGCGGATCTGAAGTTAGGCATGGGCCAGGGCGTGTCCAATAAAAGGTGCTGCAGGCTACCTGCCCGGACCATGGCCGGACTTCATCAGGTACCAGTTCAAGTGTCTCCTCCTCCAGGCAGCCTTCCCTGACTCCCCAAGGCTGCAGCAGGCACCTCTTCTGGACTCTCCCAGGCCTTTCTGCTTTCCGCTTCCTGGTCCCGACCCCTCTGTCTGTGCCCCACCCACCCCAGCCCAAACTCCTCCGCCTGTGCCTCCCTGGTCCCAACCCAGGCCACTCTGCCTGTGCTTCCTTGGTCCTTAATCCTGAATTCCCACAGCTTTAATCCCTCTGGGCTGTCACTGCCTGGTCTGTCTCCCCCATTGGACTGGGAGCCCCACGGAGGTAGGGCTTGGGGCTGTCTCTGTCATGCTGTGTCCCCACCACTGCCCAGCGCTAGGGTGGGGGTGGGGGCCTAGAGCAGTAGCCTAATGACTTATTGGCTGAATGAAGGATGGAAAGTGAGATTCAGAGAATCTCAGAATCTCTATATGTTAGTATAAACTGTTTCCATCAGACCCAATGAAACTGCTCCACCCTTCAGCCATATTTCTGGATTCCCTCTCTCATCCTCTGTAACCTTCTCTAGTAACCCCAGTGATGACCTGAGCTCCTTTTTTCTTCAAATATTCCACCTTCCCCAGATCTCTAGTTTGTGACTACTGTGAAATTCATTTAATGGGTCACAAGCAGTGTTGCTTTCATGGAACAGAAGAGAATGAATGGAAAATACCAGAACGCCACGCAAGAGGTAAGGGGAAGTATTGTTTTATCAAACCTTTGTGTCACGAACCCTGGGCCATGATGTAAATGTATTTCTCACTGGGTCAAGAAAGTGTGAGAGATGCTGCGCTCGATGAGATGGAATGTGGGATTTCTGAAATTCTGGACATTCACTGATGTTGACCCAGTACACGGCATCCAACTAAGTAATGGACTCCCACGTATCCAGACCTTAGTCTGACAGTGCTATTTATTTACTCCTCATAACCATCCTATGAGGCCAATATCCCAATTAGCCCCATTTTACAGATGAAGAAACTGAGGCTCAGAGAGAGGAAGCTGCTTGCCCAGGACCAGCTAAGAAGTGGTGGATCTGGAGGCCACACTCTGGCCCACTCCTCAGGCAGTGCTGCCTGCCATCACCATGACAATGCACACCCCCTGCTCGCCCTGTGTGCTGCTGGTTGTCACTAGGTGTCATGATCTCATAAGGAAAAAATGGAGGGAGCCTCCAGGGACAAACATTTCTAGGTTGAAGGAGAGGGTCCCAACAATCTCCCATGGGGTTGCGATGTGGATGAGAGGGGCTGAGCCAGGATCAGATGAGAGGGGCTGAGCCAGGATCAGATGAGAGGAGGCTGAGCCAGGATCAGATGAGAGG